ACTCGGTTTTGTAAGAATTTAAATTTAATTTAATTTTATTAATTATATTAAATTTTATTGTATATAAAGTGTTTATATAAATATTATATACTGTATTATGACATTAGGTTTGTCCGAAAAACTGCAATTTAAGTGATTATTATATTAAAGAATTGGGTTTGTATTTAAAGCTATGATTCAAATAATTTATAAATTAATTATTATTTCTAAATTTCAAAATAGCCATTACTTCTAATAACTATGAGGAGAACAGGATTAAAGTAAATGTACGGTATATTTATTGTGATATATCTTATAATATTACTTTATTACTAGTCCTAATAGTCCTTTATTACATTTGTTTTGTTATAATTTATAACACTTGTATATCCAAATAGTATTAGCGACATAGTAAATTAAAGTCATAATATTTATTTAAACTTTTTTTAATAGCAAATATGCGACAAATATTTAATATCCAATTTTTGTCAACAAATTTCCGGCAATAATAATGCGATTGAATGCCAAACGAGACACACATTTAACGACTCGTTCAACGACGACAACAATAACAGTGCAATTCGTTGGTCGGGCTATAAATACGGCTTTTGGGCCCAATTGTGGGCTTTATTGTGGCGCTCATACCTATTAACTACGAGAAATCATGATATTATGATTGCCCAGATGCTTTTTGTGGGCGTATGTTCCTAACAAACTATTACTTTTAAAATTATGCACAATGTCCTTTTGCGCGCAATTACTTAAACATTACCTTGTTCATAATTCTACAATCTACTAAGATTTTAATCAATATTTAATCCACTATTTAGCCGCAACCCTCCCCCTCCCTTACTCCAATCTTATTTCTATTTACCACAATTTCTAAAATAACAATTTACGAATTGTGGTTAAACCTTGTTTAAACTTTTCATATATAAAATATAGTTAATAAAAACAATATCTAACTTGCTTTAATAATATAATTTTTTAGATTAACGTAATGGTAATCAGCTGTGTTTATCACAAACAATATCCAATATCATCGGATATAAATAATATTAATGGCGCTCTATTTACAGGCTTGATGTATATAAGTAACGTATATTCACTGTTCTGTGCTCAGGTATAACACATAAACTACATATGGGTACTTGATCGATATTAGGGAAATCATTTAACAATTGTTATTATGCTATATTATATTTTCCCCGTTACAGGTATTTGGTTCGGGAATCCGTTTATTTATTCGGGAACACGACAATCGTATTTATGCAATTTTACCATATTTTGTTTCTACAATATTATTTCAAGTATGTTATAGTTATAACTTATAACTATCTAATTAATTATTTATATACAATATGTACAGTAATTACTATTCAAATTAATTTTTTCTTATATGGAAAACGATGTTTATTTGAACAATTAAATGATAATTAGATTTTACTAATAAGATTAACATATTTGAGCTATGTATTAACACATCCAATGTGTTGTGAAGATTATATAAATTTTTCTGTAAAGTGAAAGTACATTACATTTTTATCTTAATGATAAAATTATCATACTATAATTATACTTAATTATATTATACTGTATAAAAATAATTAGAATATACTTTTTTCAATAGTTGGTGTATTACATGATATTGGTTGCCGTAATGATAATAATTGAATATTACTTGATTGGCCTCAATTCCAATCCCAAGACATATTTCATTTGTATTGCTTTATACGTACTGGCAGTTATTTGCACATCTTGTTTTGGTAGGTAATAAAAAAGAATATAATGTTTAATACAAATTATATAAATAATTTATTTTAGGTTACGCACTGTCGACTATAACCCGGGATGTTCTCACCACAATGATATTATTACCAGTATTTACCATAATAATGCAAGTGCTTGCCGGATTTATTTTAAACACAAGGTATAAATATGGTTTTATTGCCTCACCGAAATAAATGTTATTTTTTAAATTTCTATCAAAATGCATTAATTGATTTATTAATTTTATACGACTAGCTCATTACAAAATTGGTTGCAGTGGATTAAATACTTAAATTTTCTACACTACGCGTACGAATCGCTTATTGTAAACCAATGGCGATATATCGACGATATTCCGTGTATTAATGGCAGTCAATCTATAGGACAATGTTATGGCAATGGACTCAATGTGATTAAATCGCTGGGATTTTACGAAAGTAATTTATATTGGGATCCAATTGTAATGATATTAATGACATTGGTATTTTTAATTGTGGCTTTCATTGGTTTAGTGTTTAAAGTTAAACATGGTTAAATTTCTGACAAACAAAATTTAATTAAAATATTAATCAAAATATTATTCGCTTTATTTAAATGTTTGATTTTATTTGTTTAATATGTATTTTGGTTTTTGGAAATTAAAATATTAAAATTACATAAGATAACAAAC